AAGACATGTGACTTTGTGATGAGACGGCATAACTGGACTAACCAGCGGACCAGTCTCATTGCACAGCATCTGAAATGTAGTTTTGGTCATTCTGAAATGCCTGAGGCAAAGACTGTCATCAAAGTGGTTCAGTATAATCACCTTCCAAAACGGTCTTAAATGACTGCATTCCCAAACAGCAGGCATCAGTCTCCGAATGCAAGATAACATGACGGTGTTTACTGCGTTTCATCTGCATACTGAGGTGCAAGAAATGTATTTTACATGGAGAAAGACCCACAGTGGCTTTTCCTACTGCAGCAAATTAACTTTTTCTAAAACTTGTCACCAGTTTATCAGGAAGTTAGGATTTTGTTCTCTTTGTATTGCTGGTGGGAAACGGAGCTTTATTCGCAAATGATTTTTGCGATATTCCAATTTTGCACATTAGTTAAATTCAGAACTTTGGATGGAAACATAGCTACTTTTCACGGCATTTGAACAAAAAGCATCACAGATCTGTTCCACAAATATACACTTTAGAAGCTTAATACTTCACATGCATCGCCACAAGAAGTTTTTGTTAAAGTCAGTTCTGGACCCGGATTCTGGAGCTGAAAAATGGAAAAACAGAAAACTTTACTAAACTTTACTAACAAGAAAAGCGTACCACAGGGGAAGAAATTTAATTAATAAAAAAGATATATGACCTTTTCATTTACCATAGTGTATGAATATGGTTCTGAATCAGTTCCATATCAAAACACCATCATACCATTTCATATCCCTGTACCTTGGTACCTTACTTTTTTGTAAAGCAATTATATATATATACTTGATATACAGTATATGCCATTTGAGTGCCTATTTACCAATTAATATGTTTAAATAGTTCAAATATTTAAATATTTCTATCCGTTTCTTTACATAATTGTCTAACATTAAACTAGCAACCACCAAGAACAGTATAGCAACCATCTAGCAATGCAACAGTAATCACCCAGAACGCCACAGCAACCACCTAGCATCACAGTAAAAAAAAATTAAAAAATTAAAAAAACTGTACTGGTAATTTTACAAACACTTCTGTTAACCCTAAAACACAAATCAATGAAGTGCAAAATTCAAAATACAAGTGTGAGACCTGTAAAAAAAAACAAATATGGAACATTAATTCAAATTAATACAGTACATTGTGCCCTATAACGTAATCAGATATAATAATCACTCATAACACCTAAGCAACCACCTAGCAACACACTAACAACTCCTTAGCAACCACTCAGAACACCACAGCAACCAACCAAAACAAAACAGCAACAGTATATGACCATTTAAATAATGTACACCAGGGGTAAAAAAAAGTGTATTTAAACAAACTATTTTTGTTTTATTTTACATACACTTTGAAAAAGAATCTTTTACAGTGTAGTTTGGTTCTTCAGAAAACTATCTATGCTCTGGTCCTTTGAAGAGTTCAAAGGTGCTTCACTTTCAGCTTCTTTAAAAGATCACAGATAATATGCAGAACCAATAGGCCGATCTGAAGAAACTATAATGTAACATTTTTTAATCTTCAAAGGACCATAAATAACAGTATAAACAACTAAAATGGTTCCTGACAAGATGATTATTATTGTTGAACAAACAGTGCTGCAAAGAAGCATTAAAAAGCCTTTATTTGAAAGAGATCTCGGCTCCAGCCAGCTAAAGTTTGCTCTGTCCGTTCTTTTCGAGGCTCTGCCGTAATGCTGGGGCCCCTGAATGAGGCTTTTGTGTGTGTAATATTAGCACCGGGTGAGTAAACTTTAACCATAAAACTCCTGCTTTCACAATAACTCAGGTTTACGCCTGTTGCCAAGAAACCGATTACCATTAGGGGATTAACCACAAAAAAAAAACATCTAAGTAATAGCTGAAACTGTGAGTGGTCACTGCTATCATGCTAGGGTATTCTGGGTAATGGCCAGGGCATTGTAATACGGTTTCTAAAGGTGTTCTATTAAATAACAAGCCATCACTCTTGTAGCAAATCAGCTCAAAAGGGAAATGTATATAAATAATTACAATTCTTAGAACACTAATATGTTGCATAGGTATAAACATATAATATACACTCTCAATTAGATCATCCGAATACGAATTCATAGAGACCAAACATGGTATATGTAAGGTTACATGAATGGGTGGTTCTATCATAAGCATGCATAAAACAGTATACAATACAAAAGACAATATACAAGAACAGTAACAACATACACAATGACCTGAAGTATATGTGTGTTCATTCAAAGAAAGGGTTTCCTATGAATTAATTAGAGAAGAGTCCATTTTTATGGGCATTATGTGTCTGTTTTAGAGAGACTTGAGTATGAGTTGCTCTGCCCGCATTCCTTTGAGCAATAGAACTAGTGTTATCAGATGGTTTGTCTTTGGCTGCCATGGAACCAGAGGCCTGTTCTGCCCTTTTAAGGTGTTAGTTGCATTTCAGGGGAAGGGTCCATAGACCCTCATAGTTGGCCCTTTGGATAGGTGAGGGGGCGTTAGATATTATTTGTTAAATATAACAAATAGTTGTGTGTCTGATTGGTCCAAATGCTACACTCTTTAACAAGACATGCAATTGAAGGTAGCACAGCGTGGGATAAGATAGATGCCGAGTTTGAGTTACAGTCGCGATAAAACAGAAGTTAACTAAAACTTTAACCATAAACATTTTTTTTGTTAACTGAAAACAAAAACAAAAAAACTTGGCTAATTGCCAAGGTAACATTTCTCATTTTCATACTAAAATAACTAAAATATAAAAATATTAAATTAAAATAAACAATTAATAAAAAATTATATAAACATATTTTGAAAAACAACATTTTTTTTAAATAAATTTGAACTAAAATTAAGATGAAAACAGAAAATATAACATTTAATTGAAAACATTAACAAAAACTACAATATTACACTGTAAAAAAAACTGTACTGTTCATTTTCAATAATTTTACAGACATTTCCATTAACCCTAAAATACAAAGCAATGAAGTGCAATATTCAAAATACAGGTGAAACATTGTGCCCTATTTTTTATTTTCATTATGTTTTTTTTCCTGTGATGTCAATGATACTAAAAATCACACTGGTTACCAGAGAGAAGCCTCTCATCTCACCAGAAGATCAAGTTATGACATTCCGATTAAATATTATGAGGTTCAAAAATGTAACATTTAAACACATGCATGGATGAATGGTTTACAATAAGACTGATAACATGCATTCATAACATAGATAGGGTGCATTTCCCTTTCTTTAATCAAATGACTGATCAAAACTGAAACTGATTTAATTATTCCTCTTGATATGATCAAAAAAGGAAATTATCCACAGTTTAAAGCACTGCAGTCATGTGGTTCTCATTGTAATCAGTGTAATCTGACTGCTCAATTATCAGAGTCAACTGTTTGTCATCAGTAGAAGATTTTATCCCACTCTCCAAACAGCAAAAACACACAGAAGTGACTTTGAAGACTCGACGAAGAGTCGACACTAAACGCACAAGCCAGCTTCAGTAGCTTCCTGCAAGCTCAGTTACATTTCACAATATCTGTTGTGTGCACATTTTCCATAACTGCAGAAAACAAAATGTGCTGGATGATCTCAGCCGGGGAACTGAGAGGGAATACATGGCCCTGCATGGAATGTGAAACAGATTACTTTCCAGAAAACTGGAAGTTCGAATCACTTTAGAGGGCTAGGCAATAAAAATAGATTTAAGAGGTTTTATGATATCATCTGTTTGGAAAGTAAATGCATAAGAGAGCTCTAGAGTTCAGATTGTTGCTATTAAGGCTACTCACTGCAATACTGTGATTGTGAGCTAAAACAAAAACTATTAAAAAATTAATTCATTCATTGAATTAAAGTTGAAATAAATTTAAATATAAAGATTAGATGAAATTAAAATGAGAAATGTTGCACTGACTGACAATTACCTTAGATTAGATTGAAGCACTAATATTACTAAAACAAAAACTGAAATAAAGCTAAACATAAAAATAAAAAAACTAAACTAAAAAAGAACAAACATGTAAAATATACATATCAGATAAAAAGTTTTAAAATTACTCAAACAAAAACTGAAATAAAGCTAAACAAATATTAAAAAAACATGTCAAATATAAATATTAGATGAAAAAATTAAATAAAAATAAGCTAAATGAAAATTAGAAGTATTGCCCCGAGTCCTAAAATGACATGAAATTAAAATAAAGCTAAATATAGATATTGAAAAACAAAACTGAAAAATGACAAAAACACACAGAATATAAATATATTATATAACTTTAACTTAAAATAGTTAAGTCAAAAGTTAACCCAATTCAAAATATTAATAAATATAATAGCATATAAATAAAACTAAAATGGTTTAAATCAATCTGATCAATCTCAATCTCATTTTTTGCAAATGCAATTTATTAACACTTAAATATGCTTAAAATCTTAAATCTTTTTTTTTTAATAATAGAAAAGAAAACCCTTTTATGTCTCCAAAACATGCTAGTCTTCACTCAACACTCCAAGTGTAATCAAAGTTTCTATGTCAATTGTTTGCTGTTGTTCAAAGTTTCGCCGATTAATGTTTTCTTGCAATAAGGATGTCCTGATTTACCAGAGGAACAGTTCATCGTGTTTTTTGTCATCTGTAACACACTGTACTGAAGGGTCATTCAGTGTCAACAGGCACTAGGGAAAGTACAACCTTGTGGAAGAACTACCAATTCTCTAAAAAATGATCATGTGGACAACAAATCTATTACCGTAACCTAACAAAAATCTTCCACTTAGTTCTAATTCTGTGGCAACAAATTATTTCTGAACTCAGGGATTTTCTTTCACTTTTAAGGCTGTTTGATTCTCTGCTATACAGACAACAAGATGTTAAGAAACTAAAGCATGTCTGAGTCGTCTTCCAAAGGAACAAAGTTCAGAAACAGTGCCGAGGACCATAACAAAATCCCACATGTTCCTACCTTCAATGGTGATGGTGCTGGAAGACTCGTTGCGTTCTGGTAAGCTTACACTTTTTCTAAGTTAGATCCACTATTGTATGCTGTTGCCGTATGGCAACATATCATAAAGTACCTTAAAATAATATTTTTTTTCCAATTTTTTTTTACAGCACTTCAAGTTAAGCCATTCTTAGAAAAGAAAAAGATTCAAATATTTTTTTCTATAGGTCTATCATAATGCGTGCGGTAGAGGGTTAAAATTGTATTTTACAACTTTGGAGTCCCAAAAACATTTTGCATTAAAGAAAAAGGTGGCCAATGACTGATATAGTGCAGATATAACATTCATAGACTGATGCAATTTAATGCAATAGCAACTGAGACATGCATAACACTACTGAAGTTAAACAAACCATTAGACATTTAAATGTGACCATTTCGCAGAAGTTGTATAACCAAAGCATCCTTTAAATGAACTGTAGAAGAGCATTAAAAAAAGAAAACCGAAATTAATTTTGAGATTTAGATTTTAAATCATTTATTTACATTTATTTAAATTAATATAAAAAATTATATAAAATTATTTTATTACTGTTAATTACAAAAAATGAGATTTCCTTTATATTGACAAAAATGTAAAAAATATCCATTGACAAGGCGGTTGGTAGACTAACACAAGTATTGGGCATAATTACCTTATAGTGGACAGCAGAGTGACCGTCCCTTGAGTGTAGACCTCCGTCTGCATGCCATCAGGGATTTCCTTACCGTTCCTAAACCACAGAATATTCAGGTCCTGGTTCACATCATTGATGTCTATGGAGCAGTTAAATTTGACCTCTGCCCCCTCTGACCGCTGGATTGTGCCCACGGTGGGTTTGAAGCGCAGCTTCTGGATCTCCTCCTGTGACAGATGTACGCTGGGAGCTCGTGCCGGGACAATGAGCGGTTCCGTTGCCTGCGTTGACCAGAAAGAACGGCCCTGCCTCGCCCAATGAGGTGAACTTCCCTGGTGGACGACAGCGAGGGGATGTTTCCAACTGGCAGCTGTTTGAGGAAATCAGAGTTTTCGTAAATATAAGCATGTCATGACAGTGAAGATGTTTAACTAAACTAGCCTATATATATACAGTGGTGTGAAAAAGTGTTGGCCCCCTTCCTGATTTCTTATTTTTTTGCATGTTTGTCACACTTTAAACACTAGTAAAAGGTAACACAATGCAAATCTCTTGCCTTTGTGAAGCCACTTAATGGTCACAGGGTTTGGAGGGCCGACCGCCTCACAGGTCAGTGTGAAGGGAGTGTTTCTCGTGATGTTCACGTCACTCGGCTGTATAGTGAAGGTCGGCAGGCCTGGATTTGAGTAAAATGTGGCAGAACATCAAATGTCTAAAATGCATAAGCAAAGGTTTGTGTCACCGAGTTGAAGGTTTACTTGCCTTCCACCTCTATAATGATGGGATTTGACTCGATGATCTTGTTACTGACGCTAAGCCTGCAGTGATATTCTCCAGCATCTGCTCTCTTGACACTTTTAATGCTGAAAGGGAATATCAAAGGAAATAAATCAAGAACATTTCTGACAATATTTACAAAACAAAATGTCCTTTAACCCTCTACCGCATGGTGTAGCCATATGGCAACATACTCTTTGTGTTAATTTCCTTGCCACTGTCTCTTTAAGAGAACATTCTCGGTTTTTTTGTTGGAAAGAGAAGACCTTAGTTTAGCCAGTGATGTGCTTTGATTAAGTCATATGACATGCAGTTTTTTTTCTGTGGCGAGATTTCTGACAGACTGCAGTCTCTTGTCGGTAGTTGCTGAAAGCAAACTAAAACGTCAGTAACAAACAAGGACCAGTCCGTGTCACTTCTACAAAAAAATCTAAAACATCACTGTTATGATGTTATGATGACATATTCACCTCTCAAAAAAGTTTTTATAAAATTCGTTTTTGGTAAATCATTCAAATGTATGTGTTGCCAAGCGGCAACCCTGTGCAATAGTGGAATGACATTATTACAATAGTTTAGCTAGCTAGCAAGGTCAGCTGCAATTTGTTAAGCTGTAACAATAACAACATTAATACTAGTGAAATAATGTTGATTAGTCGTATGTTAATGGCATTTGTATTATGGATATAATCAAATTGAAATGGCAATTTTACTTTTGATTAAATATGAATACAGGTAACATTACATTAGTGAGCATGGCCATATTCTATGGCAAGGTAAAGAAGAAAAGGGCAGAACTTGCTCTTGCTGCAGATGAAAAAACTGCTTTGTGAAGTTTCATACATAAAAAAAGGTGATCTTTCAAGGATTATTGGCGGGGGGGGGGGCGTCGATGTGAGGGCTCATGTTCATAGTCTTCCTCTCAAGAGATTGCATAATGCTGAATTTTCATGAACTGCAATGTTTTTGGTTTTATGTCAGTGTTTTATGATACATTATATACAGTATTATATTTGTTTTAACGGTATAAATTTGCAGTTTAAATAATATTCATGAAAAATGTAATGAAATAAAAAAAAGTAAGAAGTATTATTCAGCAAAAAAGAATGGAGGTGTAAACCGAGCCCTGGGTATCCTGCTTCTCCTTTGAGAAAATGAAAGCTCAGATGGCCCAATCTGGAATCTTCCCTTTATGTCGTCATACGGGGAAAGGTTACCTCCCCTTTCTCTGCTTTGCCCGCCCAGAGAATTTGGCCCGCCCATGAGAAAATGAGCTACTACCGTGCGAGGCGAGCGCAATATTTTTTTTTCCTCGAGAGACATCATGGCTTGCAAACGAGCGAAGCATGGCAGTCGCCCCGCCTCTCTCCTCCTCATTAGCATTTAAAGCTACAGACACAGAAATGGCACGTCCTAAGGAAAGCTCATTGTGGGACTGGCTCGTAGTGGCTGAAATTCTGCACCAAGGCTGAATTTCGGGAAAGAGACTTCAGATACAGTACTAGGGACCACTTAGGCCTATATAAAAGCATCCAAAAAGCAGCATGTCATGGGACCTTTAAGTAAATATCAAAGTGATCCCGTTTTTCCCATCATACACTGGGGCATGAATAATCAATTTAACATTCATTAAAATGTTCACTGTTTTCGAGTTGGATTTACACTTTTTTATGGTTGATTTTGTCGTTAGGTTTAGTAACTTACTGTTTGTGATACCTGGAGTTAATTTTCTACTCAAAATGACCCATTTATACTCAAACACTATGCACTGATTGTTACCGTCACTGTGTATGGTGTACCAAGTATTGAGGTCTCTGTGTTCATTTAAGTAATAATTATATTGAGTGGACATATTATCTTCAAAGGTTAACAAGCTGTCTACTTGCTTACTTACATGTTTGCAAGTGAACTACATGTTTTAATAGCATGGTTGTTTTCCAGTGCCACATTGGTTGAGTAAATTTTATAAACTTAACTGAGGGAAATGTAATTGAGTATTGCATATTTAACAAAATAATTAAGTAGACATTACTCATCAAACTGTAACTGGCCATGTTAAATTTACTTATTTCCTTTGCCAATTTTACCTAACTTGTTTAAGCAGATTTTACTTAATTCAATACTTAAATTTTACTTAAAATTTGTGTGTGCAAAAACTTGCAAAATAAAAATTAAGTAAATCTACGTATTGTTTTTTTTTTCAGTGTATGTGTGTGTGTTATTAACCAAGTTAATATATTTATTATTACAAATAAAAATAAATGATATACTGTACATAAAGTGCTGTTTAACGGAGCGAAGATTTTTTTTCCGACAGCATTTCTAAACATAATAGTTTATTTAGGAAACTTGGGGTGTTTGTAATACAAACAGAAACAAAATTATAAATCGGATAGTTCCGGTCCTTGATTCTGATTGGCTGAGCCACGTTCGAAGCTGTTGTAAATTACTCTACAAACATACACCTTTGTTTACATTTGTCTGTTGCTTGGCAACCACTTTATTGCAACCATAGATATGTATAGTTTCCCCATTCGACGGCTCCAGGCACGTAGATGCGGCCGCCATCTTGGAACGGTCTGCTTGACGTCATTCACCATACTGTAGGTTCTCACAGAGCCGTTGAGCTGTTCTGTGCAGGATTGTGGCATCTTTCAAATATTCAGTGATTACTATGGTGAATGATGTCAAGTTGACCGTTACAATATGGCGGACGGCTTACGTATAGCGGCGCATAGAAAGAGTCGCTAATGAGGCATCTACGTATATATCCCTATGGTTGCAACCACAACTGATTCTGAGGAACTACATTGTTTGGTGGAAGAATACTGTTTTTATTTATATCATTACACTTTATTTGCTCCATTTTATTTTGTGAAACCTTACTACGTATATGGAATAACCGTTTTATAAAAGCAATAATCCCCGTGAAGCCATGGTTTACAGTGAATTTATAACAGCTAAGGGGGTTTTAGGCACTCCTAACAACGCCCCTTAGCTGTTATAACTTTACTGTAAACCACGGCTTCTTGGGGCTTATTGCTTTATTATAACCAAGAATCAAAAAGTCTACAGGTCAAAATGATCAGCCCTCTGATGTTAATAGCCAATAGTGTCTCCCTTTTGCTTGATAACAGCCTTTAGTCGTTTGTTGTAGTTCTCAACAAGTTTCAGGAGCGTCTGAATCTCTCAAGCTCCTCCAGATTTGTTGGTCTCCTGGCATGGACTCTGGTCTTCAGTGTGCCCCACAATTTTTTTTTATTTTTTATAATTATTTTATTCTGGGCAAAATTGAAAGAAATAAGGCTTTCTCTAGAGGAAAAATATAATAAGAAATACTGTGCTAAAATTCCCTTGCTCTCTGTTAAACATCACTTGGGAAATATATATATATATATAAATTAATTATATACTTATATATAATTATTATATATTACAAAAAAATTACACACACACACATATATATACATACATGTATATATATACAGTATATATTTTTTTTCTACTTTAATTTTTTTTTAAATACTAAAACTCATCTTTTTAAAATTGTTTGTAAGTGTTAATACATTTTGTTTTGTTTACTGATGCAATTTAATTTATTTTATATATATATATATATATATACACACACACACACACATTTTATATTATAATTTAGCATTTGTATCGTTAATATTTTTGCAATGTATTATTTATATATTTGCTAAAAAAAAAAAAAAACCATAGCATCCTGTCATTAACATTATGTTTTTCTATGAGTGCAAACACTTTTAAACTTTGACATTGGACATGACACCATAATAATACCAGTATTATTAATAATACAGTATTTATACTATGTACCATGGTAACACCAAGCATCTTTTGACTTCTCATGTAAAAACATACATGTAATTATTTAGTACTATGGTATACAGCAGTGGTTCTCAAACCTGTCCGGAGTACCCCCAGCTAACACTAACCACATCTTTATTAGAAAATATAAACCACTCCAGGTTTTATAGAAAATTACAGGTCTTATAAACCAGTTTTCACAATGCCAATTAGAACTGACGAAATTTCAGATACATAAAAGGAAATCCAGCATGAAAAGTCTATATAGATTTCTAAATCATAAAAGTTTAAAACCATATTTAATAAACTTTTTTTTTTTCCCAAAGTTTTGCATAATTGTATCGAAGTGAGTCTGGAATAAAAAATATTTTAATTAAATGCAAAAAATATAAATATTACATCACTAATTTAGTTTTTGACTCACAATCTGTCAATTTATCAAGTCAAATCTATTCATATAATAAAATTAAGATTTTATTTTTGATATTTAACAACAAAACCGTCAACAACAGTACTGTATAACAAACTATTAGGAATATTTACTGTGAGATTTCAGTAAAATCTCATCATTTATAGCTATTGACCACATGAGCTAAATAGAGTCACAGACTAGCACTATTTAGTTTCTAAATCTTTATGAAACTAGGGCAGATTATTATTACAGCGCTGTAATCCTCAAAACTTTACAGAGAATTAAAGTCCAACATTTTAATAACTGCATCACCATCTAGTTTGAGATCTTTGCATGTCTGAAAAACTAATGTCATATTAAATCTTAAAAATGTATTCACATCATTAATATTTAGTAGAGTATGCTTAAATATTTAATAAAGTACATAACAAATCAAACTATTAAAGCGAGTTTTTTTTTATGTAGAAAAGCAAATGTTTTGTGTTGCCAACTTGATTCCAGGATCAAGGATCCTGCGCAGAAATCGATTCCAAATGACCAAAACAAAGCATTAAACGGCACAAATCCCATCACACGCACACGCTTTAACAGCACTTTCTGAACTTTCTAAGGTTGTTGATTCAGTTGCTTTTAAAGCATGCACAAAACATCACATTAACTTTAAGAAAACCGCACATCTTACCAGTTGTCACTCTGACTGACTGTGAAAACAATCCGACGAGCAGTGGAGTTAAAAAGCGCAACATCGCGGAGAAACTTTTGCCTAAAATAAACCCCATGGCGCTTTCTATTCTTTTTCCTTTCGTCTAAGCGTGTCAGGCGAACGTTCGCATGAAGCAGAGTATGTGCAGCTCGAGTAACATCTTCTTTGCTCTTTTCTCGGGGTCATTTAACACAAGAACGAATGCGTGCGCTTCTCTGTGATGAGTGCAGCTCCTTCTGGAGGAACTGGGGCCCTCGCATGACGTCACACCAGCAGTCTGGGACGCTTCTCACAAATATATGACCTAATATGTAATGTTTTTGTTTGTTTACTATTCGTTAATCATTTTAGAATTAATATTTTAAAGTTTATTTTGAATGATTAACGGTAGAAAAAATACATTTTATACAGTGTTGTTGATATTTGAGCTTTTCTGTGAACGTACTTTGAAACATGTGGGAAAAAAATGCTGCGATATTTAAATAAAAATGCGAATATGAATGAATGAATGTACACTATGCAGTGTCAAAAAAAAAAAAAACCTTGTCTAGTTTAGGAATTCAAGTACATAAAAGACTGCAAACATTTTGCTTGCATTTTATTAGACCTCAAATACTACATAGTAACTAAAATAAAATAAAAAATCCTTAATGTTTTCAAAACAATAGTTTTGAAATTTGTCCACAAAGTGGCGCTATTCCATAGTAGCCTACATCAGTGTTTCCCAACCTTTTTTTAGTCGCGGCACCCTTTGGACATTTTAACAAACTTGTGGCACCCTACAAAATTAATTTTGTCACAATATTTGAATTTCTAACTTCGATGTGATCATTTGAAAAGTGTAGAAATTCGGTACAGCAGGGAAGAACTGCAGAATATAATGTCATACAGATATTTTTAATATTATTTAAAAAAATCGTCCATCAATGGTGGCAATCAGTAGGCTAATTTCTAATGAAGAGACCAATTTATATGACAGATTTTAATGTAGGCTTTTATACATATGTAAACATTATTTAATTACCATTATAACTATCTCACAAAGTCTTTCTCAGTGTTTTTTTTATTTTACAGTGGGGTAATTTTGGTGCAGTAGCACGAGATAGCTTGATTTCAAACTCTGAATTGAATAA